AATGAAAAACCAAAAATTCTAATCCTATGTGATGAACATGATCGGCATTTATACCAGTACCTAAATCGTCAGTTTGCACTGAATCACTATGATACCAAGATGATAATCAAGCCGGGCGCCAATTTCTACAGTGTATTGCAAAACTTGAAAAAACTAACTGAGGACTTTGATAAACAAGATTTTGTTATTGTGTCTGGTGGATACAATGACTTAGTAAACAATAAGTTCCCCCAAATTAAAAGTATTTGGAATATCCTTAAACCATGTTTACAAACAAACTTTATTTTTGTGGAGTGCCCGACAATGTCTAACAACTCACACTTTATTCGACAAAAAATTATAGCTTTTAATTCTAAATTTAGTTCTTTTATAAATAAAATTGACAATATTTCCGAAATATCTCTTGTATATATTAATATTACTAATCATAAGGGTTTTTGCATGAGGAAATGGCAAATAGGTAAATTAGTATCAGACAATATTAAAGCAAGCTTAAATAAAGTAAAGTCTCTAATATTTGTAAAAACTATTGATCAAACAAATGCTTCAAAGGCAATAGCTCAGGATGTCAATTTGAATTTTGAACCTAGTATTAAAAGTAATGGTAATAGTTATCTTCAGTCTAAACAATATGTAGAGAATTTTTCTTATATACAAAAAACACTATCTAATGGAACCACTGTTAACCTTTTAGAAGCAAGACACGATCTAGCAGCAAATGACACTGTAATCCAAGGCAAAAACATTTTGCAAGCAAATACTTTTTTAGAAAAAACTCTTGTTCAGAGAAACGTAAAGTAGCTAATACGGATAATAACGCTAAAAAGTTGAATACTACAGCTGTATCATTATTTTTAATTAACATTCAATCTTTGAGAAATAAATTAGATGATTTATTTTTGCTTTTGGAAAGCAATAATTTTCCTGATTTTTTGCTTTTGACTGAACATTGGCTGGCATCAAATGAACCATTTCATATTCAAAATTTTAAATTGGTTTCTCACTATTGTAGAGACTCTCAAACACGTGGTGGCACAGCTATTTTAATTAGTGAAGGATTTTCAGAGTCATTTGTGGTTATTTCGGTTCATAAGTATGATTTCCTTGTTATTGAAAATGTTTTCGAATTTTCCTTAATCTTTAACGAAAAAAATAATTTGTATATTTTGTGTATATATAGGCCGCCCTATCATTCAAATTTAAATAATTTTTTTGCAAAGTTTGAGGAACTTTTAGGTAAACTACCTCTTAAGGCTAATGTAATACTGGGGGGAGACTTAAACATAAATTTTGACGATGAAGAAACTGACGCGAAACAACGCCTATTTAATCTTTTTCTTTCTTTTAATATAAGACTGCATGTTGAGGAACCTACCCGTATTACTTCTCACTCACAAACACAGATAGATTATATTTGTTCCAATTTCCCTGTTAATGATGTATTTGTTGATTGTACTGTTGTCCCGGCTGGCATCTCGGATCACGAAGCTGTCTTGGCAGATTTTAGGCTAGTAATAAACAAACCGCCCAAATTTAAAATTGGCCGTCTTTTTAGCGTAAAAAATTATCAAAAGTTCAAAGGCGCCTGTTCGGTATTGAATTGGTTGTCCATTCTTGGTGCGGAATCCCCACTTGACGCATTCCATAACCAAATAAGCAATATATTTTTAAATTCCTTTCCGTTACAAAAAGTTAAAATTAAAAACAAAAAAGTTTGGGTTACAACTTGTATAAGGGTTTCAGCAAAAAACTTCCGTTCACTTCAGGTTATTCGAAAATTTACTGGCAATCCACAGTTTTTAGCTTATTTTGAAAAATATAAAAGAATTTACAAAAACATTATCAAAATGGCAAAACAGAAGTTTTGGCAGAAAAAAATCGAATCATCATCTAATGCAACTAAAGAAAATTGGAAATTAGTGAATGAACTTACTGGTAAAAATTCCGTTCTGCAGCCAAAGTTTGACTTGGATCCTAATGCACTAAATAATTTTTACTGTACAATTGCACAAAAGTTACAACAACATCTTAATAGTAGTTTAGATCCGATCTCATTCATGTCAGATATTAATATAAATGACACCTTTGTGCTGGAAACGACCAACCTAAATGAGCTTCTTTGCACTTTTAATGAAATTAAAAACAAAAAGTCTTGTGGGTATGATAACATTTCAGTCAATTTGCTTAAGCTTTTACCTGATAATGCACTCTATGTTCTGGCCGAGTGTATCAATGTTTCCTTTTTGACTGGAGTGTTTCCAAATTGCCTTAAAAAAGCTATAGTTATTCCTTTACACAAGGGTGGTGAACTAAGTGAGCCATCAAACTATCGGCCAATATCATTACTGTCAACTCTATCAAAAATCGTTGAGAAATTGGTTAAGAGGAGAATGTTGATGTACTTTTCCCAACATAACATAATAAGTAGCACACAGTTCGGATTTTTGCCCACTAAAAACACTCAACTTCAATGTTTTTGAGGAAATTTATACAGGCTTAAATGAAAACGAAGCTGTGGCAACGGTCTTTTGCGATTTCTCTAAGGCATTTGATTGTGTCAATCATAACATAATGCTTCATAAGCTAGAAAAATATGGTTTTAGAGAGATCGCATACTTGTGGTTTGAATCCTACTTTGAAGGGAGGGAGCAATGGGTTAGGATAGGCGGTGAAGAGTCATCTCTGTGGCCATTAAAATCTGGCGTTCCTCAGGGGTCAGTATTGGGTCCAGTTTTATTTCTAATGTTCCTGAACGACATAAGTTATCTACCCATCAGAGCTAAACTTACTTCTTTTGCTGATGATAACACCTTAACTTGGCGGGGAAAGAATGTTGATGATTTAAAGAAAGTTATATCAGAGGATCTGAGGCTCATCAAGGAATGGTGTGACGCAAACTTACTTTGTTTTAACACCAAGAAAACCAATGTAGTAACTTTCAAATTCACTTTTAATGATTTGGTTTTGGAAGCACAGCCAATTGAAAACAAAACAAGCTGTAGGTTCGTGGGCATCCATGTGGACAACCATCTTAAGTTTAATGAGCATGTCAAAATCTTGAATAATAAATTGGCCAGTGGCTGCTACGCAGTTAGAATAGTGGTGAATGAACTAGGTTTGGATACTGCAAAATTGGTTTACTTTTCGCTGGTGGAATCGCACATTAGATATGCCATTTCATTCTGGGGTAATTGCTCGGATGGGCTGTTCGAGTCTGTTTTTGTTCTTCAGAAACGAGCGATAAGGTATTTGTGTAGGGTTGGATACCAACATCACTGTAAGCCACTTTTCATCCAGCATAACATTTTAACAGTTTGCTGCTTATTTATCCTTGAGTCAGCCTGCCTAATGCACAAATACCACTACAGCAATCTAAACAATCCAATGACTTATGCAACTAGGCAACGAGTGCAGATTCGAACACCTATCCCAAAATCAGCCCTGACCCGAAACTCTATAATTTTTAAAAGTAGACAGATTTTTAATCATCTTCCAGCAAACTTAAGGCAAATTGCATTTCTTAAAAAATTTAGGTTTGCGGTGAAAACTTTTTTGTGTAGTAAAGCCTATTACAAACTGAACGACTATTTCAATGAACGATTTTAATTTTAATATTAATATTATTCATCCATTTTTTATATTTCACCCTTATTATAATAATTTTATCCTTCCATTTTTATTTTTGTTTTTGTTTTTGTTTTTGTTTTATTTTATTTTTTGTAGGTTGTTGAATTAGGACTAAATATCTTTATACAATATTTATTTTATTTTAATACTATTTAGACATTAAGGATGCTTTGTTAATGAAATTTTATTTCAGACAATAAAGTATATTTTGATTTGATTAAGAGATTCGGGGTTTACCCAGTTGATGTACCATATGATGGGTTGTGTATCCAAAATGGTTACAGTAGGTTAGATGTAAGAAGAACATTAACGTAATGTTTTTGTATAAACTTTTTCATTATCATGTGAAAAATGAATATCTGCTGAGCCTGATAAATATAAGAGTACCAGATTTGAGAACTAGACAGTCACAGATATTGACTTATGATACACCAAGAACAAATAGGCAGTTTATCTTACCTTTAGTAAGAATGTGGGATATAATCAATGAAACAAGTTGTGATATTTTCAAAGTGAAATAATTTTATTTAAGTAGGAGGTACAAAGTAGATTAGGATGTTAGTGTTGGGTAGTTTGTAGTTTTAGACATTCTCTGTAAATGCAAGATGTAGAGGATATTGAATAAATAAACAAATAAAAGTAATCCAGCATCCAGCAAATATTGCGATTTTTTTTTAGTTTCATTAAGGCATAATCTAATGATACCTCGCATTTTAGAGTATTGTAAAGTGTGTAAAAGCAATATCTGAAATTCTATATACCTAGCAGCATTGTCCTAATAGCTGTCTTCTGTTCTTGATGCAACTTTTGAAAATAAGGCAGCTCAAAGATCACGAGAAAAATTAAAATAAATCTGAAAATCTAGCCAACTATGACCCATAAAAACAGCGAATCCACTATACAATAGGGTCATATGATTCAAACACCTGTATGATTCCTGCATGTCTGGGACATTTGAAATGTAAACATTGCAAATTTACCATTACTAAATCAAACATTTTTTTAAATAAAACAATTTATTTAAAACAACTATAAACCAAATCATCAACATCAAAGGTTGTCATGTCGAACAATAATAAAATAATAGCTGTAAAACCACAACACACTCCCCCCATATACATAAGAGAAAAGAAAGGAACTTTAATAATATGCATTTCAGACTGGAAATTATTCAATTTATTTATTAAATTAGAGCACAAAAGATACCTACAATTGGACACTAGTTATATCTATAGATTTATAAAAAAACTTATCAAAATCATGACTATTAAAACAAAACAACTGTTGCGTCTATGTGAAACATACATAAATAAAAACTTTCAACATATTTGTGTGTTCTTATCTTACCTATTTTTGTGGAAAATAGGACTTACCTAGAAATGCAGTCAAATCGACTGGGAGCGAGTCCATTTTCCAATCAAAAATAATCGTACATTTTTAGCACTGATAAACTTTTCCCAAAAGAAAAGAAATTTTCACATTTTTCACAAAAGTTTCAAAACTTTTCATCTAGCAGCCTGTTTTCGTTTTCCACGTTCTTTCCGTGCGTTCGTTATTTTGGTCTGAGTTCTCCGAGCTTGACTTTACCGTTCGTTTATTTAAAAAGTGTACTCGGTGCAGCCTCATTCGCGTTCGTTTATTAAAATTTCCGGTACTTTTATACAGCGTTCAACTGCTCCCTTCGCTCGCTGGTCACGTGATTACGGCTCCGCTCAGCTCGCTCTACACTTTGAGCAAAATACCGAACGCAAGGTTTGACACTTGACAGATGATGACTATTTCGTTCTGTATTGCAACCACTTGTTTGTGCATTTTGAAATAGAAAATAGATAATCGTTTCTTTACGAAATAAACCTCCTAAAATAAACGTAAGTTTATCTACATTCTATATGCAACAAATTATAATTAAATTAAAAATAAAGTTAATTATTATTAATGGGAAAAATAAAGTTTTAAATAATTTCTAGGGCCTAGTTGAGACATCCTGTAGCGTTGTTTATTCGTCTCACTCTTTCAAACACTCCCTACACATACGAAAAGACGTAGATGTTTTCTTAAATCGACTTGAAATGTTGAATAGAGGTTTCTCGCTTCGTTCCTGGGAATATAAACTATAGAAAGCGAGTCATTTGCGATTTATTTCTATTCAAATTATCCTAAGCTCATTACTAAAAATGAAAATGAAAAAATAAAACAAATCGAAAACATCTTATACCTAACAGTGTGAAACCAAGCCATGGGTCCCAATCTCGCAATATTGATAATGAACTCTTAAAGTAATTTATTGCATTGCAGCATTTCTGAGGTTGCTCTATTGGTAGTTGTCTGAATGTGATGGGCAATGAATTCCATGTGTTTACAATGTTATGTTACGTTTTTCTGCAAATATGTAACTAAATTGCGGGATATCTGTTAAGGTTTTATTTTTGTCTAGTATCATATTTATGTTAAACTTTTTGATTTTTAAAAAGATCTCTGGGTTTTTCAAAATAAACTTAATACTTTCCTAAATTAAGAATTATATAAAAGCAACGTTTTTGCAAAACAAGTATTCTATTATCATAGGCTGAGTTTCCCCAGAATATGATACCGTACCTAACACGAGACTGTACATACATAGGCGTGATAAAAAAATAAAGGTGCAGAGAGGTCCACTGATTCTCTAATAATTCTGAGAGCGTAACAGAATTGGCATAGTTTTGACGCAAATTATGAGCTTCTCTGCATAGCTTATTGTCGAGAGTGACTCACAGTAAAGCCACAGCGTCCTGAGCCTTAAAGGTCAACTCCTGCTCCATACTCTATACACAATTTTTCTGATGATTTTGGTTTGAAATGAATAAGTTGTTTTATTATTATGTCTAATGTTAGACTATTTGAATCAAACCATTTTTTAAATTTGTTTAGATCATTATGAATATTATTAGTTTTTTTCACTTGTATGCCTTGTTCTACATATATTACAGTTTTATCGTCAGGGAATAACATTATTTTGTCATTTTGAATGATGTTTGTTACATCATTAGTGTATTAGAATATAGATGAGAGACAAGACCGCTCCCTGAGGAACAATTCTGTCTACTTGTCCGAAGTCTGATCTTATCTTTTTCCCAACTTTGCTCACTTCTTCTATAATGCACTGCCATCTATTTTTTATTTTATTTTATTTTATTTATTGATACATCTTTACAGACACCATAAAGGTAATTACTAATTACAAGCAAAGGCAAAATGCCGCAAAATCGAGGGCAAAAAGAACAAAAAGAGAAAGAGACAATAAAGATAAACTTTAAAACTAACACAAAAGACACTTAAATAAATACTCAGATAACAATTTTCTAATTCTAACAAGAAGATTGAGATGTTAAACCTAGTAACTGAGAGAGGCTAGCATCAAATATATCAAATGGGTTTTCCCTATTTACGATATTGCACTGTTCCATCATTTTATTTACAGGAGATAGTTCATACCTACCGACTAGTTTTAAAAATATCTAGGCTAAGAACCCTTGAGTTAATTTTAGGTACCTACCCTAAAATCTATAAAATTAATCAAATTAATATGTGAATTTTATATTATTACCTGTGTAGTACATGAATATTACAGCTTGTTCATTTCGTCTTTGTACAAGGGACTTTACATAGAAACTATTTAGCATCGCCTTATATGAGGCGGGTACGCTCCATTTTTCCTAACATACAGAAATCTCAAAAACGTTTTTGAATTTTTTCAATGTATATGAGTATGACACTGAGCCAGTGGCATCCAGATTTAAGCAGCATACTTTAAATCTAAGAGAAAAGATCCAATCAGCCGCAGTGCCATATGTCTCGTATGCCATAATAATATGCCACATGCATCTAAATAAAGTTTCATGGTTGACTATTGACTCTATCAAAAGCTTTAGTCAAATCTAGACAGCTGCTGCTGTTTGTTTCCGTGTATTATTAATTTTATTAATTCTCTGATATATTGCCCTGATTCCTGATTGTTGATTTGCCCTTTCGAAAACCGAGAGTATGCACTGATTTTCTAAGAAGTGTGTAATTTGTTTCAGTCCATTAGCTTTTCAAAGATTTTGCTTATATTGCTTAATAATGATATACGGGGCCATAGTTTTTAATATAATTTTTGGCACCTTTATTTTTATACAAGCGTTTGACAATGAAAAACCTAAGGGCAGATGGAAATTTTCATTATACAGAGTGTACCTACGAAAAGAAACGGGACGGTCAATTATCTCTCTGAAACCAGTGGAGCAATTTCAATAAAATCTCATATTTAGACTTTACTTGGAATTCCGAATTCAAAAATAGTATCGACGTTGTTGCCAGACCCACCAATTTGTCTGAAGGCACACAATTTTCTTGAGTAAAATGTAATACTTCACTTATTTTTATCTCAATCAATATTGGGCTTGTTTGATTTCGTGGAAACGGAATAACAGGTAAATGAAATCAATAGTAGGACAAGAGCAATCGATGGAGGTTAAAATAGGTGGAGTCTTTCATTTGAAATGAAAAAGGTTGTGTGCCCTCTGAAAAATTGGTAAGCTTCGCAACAGCGTCGATGCGATTTTTGAATTCGGCTTGTCAAATAACTTTCAGGTATAGTCTATTGATAGTCAAATGAGACAGTAAAAAAAATAATATTCCTTTGGCCGTCGGCGTTTTCTTTATGAAGCACCGGCGGAGTAAGGGAAATTTATTAAAACAGTTTTATAAAATAAAACATGAGGCACGATACAACTCAAATAGGAATCAAATTTATAAAAACTATCTACTGCACTGTCTTTCCAGACGAAACTGATTCGCAAACGGCGGCCGCTATAAAGAAATATGCCGCCAAAGAAGCCGCCTTTTCAAAGAAATACGCCGCTAAAAATTCTAACCAATAAGATATATTCCTGGAGTCAACGTTGACTGTATAAAACAACCAATAAGATGCGTTGTTCGCAAGTGGATTCGCATCCAATGTATACGGGCAGGCTCAATATATTTTTCCTAATATTAGTATAATAATTTTAACGGGCAATACGATAATTTGAGGAGACCCCAATTTTTGCCTTGTCTCATTTGAGAAACGATAGACTATACATACCATAGGCTTTTTGCGCTATATTTAGAATGACATCACATTTAGTAAATTTCTGCTGCCAACCTAACAAAACTAAAAGTACTTTTTAACGCATTTAAAGTAGGCGAATTTCAGATGTTTTTGGTTGGCAACGACGTGCGACGTTGCATGACTTGTATAAACATTTTGATTTAAAGTCTGTTTTTTTTTTAAAGATAATTCCCTAAGTCAAAAATTTAGTAACTATGTTGGCAACACAAGACTTTTCTACATAAAAAATTTGAAAGCATTGACAATTTTACATTGTATTGCCAACATAATGTCATTTTGACTTTTATCTTTAAAAAAAAAACAGATTTTAATTATTTTTAGCTGTCGTCAGAATTATTGACACATGAGATTCTGGTAAATTATAAGCAAAAACATAGGCGTTGACAACATTGTCTGTCCTTATTCGATGACGTAATCATAAATATAACATAAAAAAACCTATATTTTTCAAATTGCACCAGTGGTTTCAGACATAATTGACCGTCCCGTTATTTTTCGTACACTCTGTATAAGTTTCCTCAGGTGGAAACTGGTGCCACTAGTTTGAAGCATTTTGCCTGACTATAAAAATCCCGACAATTTTTTTTCGACAAACCGCAAAATCGTACAGAGTTGCTACTTATGTTCGCTTTATTCGGTAATTTTGTTCAGTTCAGTCTATAATACATACACGCATTATACATTCTAAGACAATAAATTAGCAAGCCAAAATACCCAAAAATAAATAATATATTTATTAATTTAATCGTTATTTTCTTTACTAAACTGACCCGATAACTTAATAAAAAGGTGGACCAATACCTTGATGTTAGGACCTATCCAACTGTACTTGCATAAACAGTAGTTGACGATCCAGGTATTGTGTAATGTGGAGCGGGCAGCGTCCACGGGTACTATAATTGATATAAGTACCTACCCCTAGACCGTGTCCAAGTACTTGATACAAAGTAAGTTAGCAACCAGTAACTTGAATGTTAGAACGGTTAGAACCAGAACCCATCCAACTGAACTTGGATAATAAAATTAATACGATCCAAGTGAGGCACGCACAGCGTCCAAGATTACCTACTTGATTCTACCAAAGCGTATATTTCTACTTTACAAGTGACCTGACGTCCTAACGTCTTTTTTAAATCTGCATTGCGTTTAAAGACCAAAAAAAGATTAAGATGCGTTGAACATGTAGGTAAGCAGACGTCTAAAAAGCGTCTTGAAGTTCATGATTGTGGACATCTTAGGGACGTTTTTAAGATGTCTACAAAAACTTTCCACGGAATTAATTTCTCATTCAATTTAGAAGTTACTGGAAACCATTTAAAATGCTACAGAACACTTTGGAGCTTTAATAAAAAAAATTCGATTCAGAATTTCCAAAAGCATTCTGTGGCGTTTCTAAACAATTTGGAAATTTCAGAGCCATTTTAGAATTATCCAAAACATTCAAAAACCTATTTACAATTTTCAAAAGCATTTAAGAACAATTCAGAAGTTTGTACCCCATTTTAGGACGCTCCAAAACACTCAGACGCTCTAGAATCTTCAGAAATATTTTGAAAAGGGCCAGAATCTTAGGATTCAGGTTAAAAGTTACAAAACGCCTTTCAGAAGGTGTTCAAGAGCGAATTTTAAATTGCTGTAGAACTTAAAACCTTCTAGGTATCCAAAACAGTTCAAATCCAAATTAGAATTTTCAGAACAATTGGGATTCAATTTAGAACTGCAAAACTTTTAGAACTCTTTTGAACCAATTTAGAACACTTTGGAGCTTCAGTATACGGCTAAATTACTTATTTATAAATATGTCAGAACAATTTGGAAATTACTGAAAAACTTCTAAAATGCTCCAGAATTCTTCAAGCCAAGTTAGACCGCCTTAGAACTTCAATAAGCCATTAAGAACGTTCCAAAACACTTTCCAGCAACATTTTGAAAAGGTTCCGAAACAATTTAAAAACCTCATATCAGAATTATGTCAGAGAGCCTAGCGGCTAGAATAGACTTGACAGTTATGAAATGAGTAGGTAGGTAATAATAAAGTTTCTCTTTCAATTCAAATTCTTGAATTTCTATGATTTTTACTGCTCCAGGCTCTTGATTTTTCCTTATATGTATTTTTATTCTAAATTCTTAACTTTCTTTTGGCTCTTGAATTTTTCCATTCCAAGTTCTTGAATTTCTCATTATTCCCATAGGTATTTTAGAATTTCAGACTTTTGATTCGTTTTTAAATTTTTACTCCTGGTTCTTCTAATGGTTTCCTTCCAAAATAGATGTGTATGATTTTGTTTAAATTCTTGATTTATTTTAAGAAGAGCCTAGCGTTTAGAATACATAAATATTGAAAGTTATGAAATGAGTAGGCACCTTATTCTTAGACCTACTCCAAACGATTTTTACATTTGAATTTTCGAACTATGTAATTATTGTGATAATGGTAAACAAATTTCTATAAATTATATACCTATATTTCAATAAGTTAGATGCTATATTTCTTTCTCTAGTAATATACCAATTAATTTAATAACCATAATGATAGTATAATAATTAAAATATGTGATGTTATTCGAAATTATAGTGCGTATAATTAACACAATAACAAATAGGTATTTTTAGAAATTACTTCATTTGACATTTATTATTATCAATACCTACTTATTAATAATTAGTAATAATACCTAGTTATTGTTTAAAAAAATAAAGCTACATTATCTTTGGAATTAGGTAGGTACCTACAGGCCCGACAAGAGGGGGGGGGGTAGACGGGACAAATTCCCGGGTCCCGTAGGGGCTCGGATTTTTAATGGGGGAACTAAAAAAAAAAAAGGGGGAAGGCCAGTTATTATTTATTTGGGAGACCAATAAAAAAAGAAAAAAAGGGCCCATTATCATTTTTTTTCCCGGGGCCCGACCCGGCTCTCGGCGGCCCTGGTTACCTATAATAGGTAAGTACCCTTTTTAAAAAATCGTGATATAAATTTTTACATGAAATTTGTATATAATTTTTTATTAAAGATAAAAAGTATAAAAAACCAAAAATCATAAATTCACCACAAGGTAAAGTATAAGCTCTACATAAAACTAAAATTTCACATTAACAAGCGTTTATGTATGCTATACCAAAAATAAAGAAAAACCTCAATACTTAATTCCATACAGGAAATTCTTCAATGACTGGTGTGGTGATTCATTAATGAATGGATGAATTTTAAGGTGACACCTTTAACGGTCTTATTTTTGATACCGGAGCTCTCTAATAACGTGGTAAACAAGCTAGTTAGAATGAAGTAGCATGCTATTTTTGACAAGTGACTCCAAAATGTCGGCCCCAAGTTAGGCAACCAGTGATACGCTCAAAATTAAAAAATGTCCAAAAACACAATTTATTCAATATTTTGCCACAAAATCGTGGTTAATTTTAGCTGAATTTAATCTATTTTATCGAGGTAGTATTAAACCAACACGCGTCGACACTGGAAAATTCGATTCATTGATAATACGCCGTTCCATTCATGCGATTCGACTGTATTGATCCAAACATCTGACACTTCTCGAGTTCTTTGAAGAAAATCTTAACAAGCGATGACCTACTCTACTAGCCCGACTGTTTACAAATTCCTGTAGAGTGTAGACATGGCCGAATTTTCTTGCCAACAGAATTTTCCGCGGATTTCCTTCGGAAAGGGCGTGTAAAAAACCATGCAAAATGCCTGAGGAATTTTTATGGTGATGGCTAGAAGTTAGAAAAACTTGTTGTGCAGTGGCCAAAAGGGCGTAAAAAGGACGATTTTTCCACATTTTCTTTGCAAAATCGAGTGGGCCTGGAAAGGTAATAAACAACAAACAAATTTGATTTTTTATATAGATTTATTTCTGGTTTTCAAGCATTTGTTTATGATATATGCTTCTATTGTTTATTTTATCTAAAACTAGTTTAGATATATCAAAAAACGCCTTAAAATTAATCAATTAAACACTAATTGGGTTTGATAAACAACCAAGAATTGGATAGAGGCCAATTTAACAAAAATTGGGTACCTAATTGACATTGTTTTTATTCTTTTTTGGGTATTTTGTTTTTCTTTGTTTCTGTACAAAATTTAAGCCAGTCACATAATTACTCTAGTAACTCTACGGTAGTTGCCTAATTTGATATGTTATGTTATAAAGAAGGTTGTTATAAATATATCTTGGTAACAAATTTGTAATTCGTAATACCTTAAAATAGGCTGTGTCAAGTAAATATGTAAGACCACAACAGGACAGGGCATGACCTTGGTCCTGGTGATGAGTAAAGGCGAGTTCACACATGTAAAATTTGCTCGAAAATTTGCCAACTTATAGTCTGTTTTTTTTTAAAGATAAAAGTTACAATGACATTCTGTTGGCAATACAATGTAAAATTGTCAATGCTTTCAAATTTTTTATGTAGAAAAGGCTTGTGTTGCCAACAAGTTACTAAATTTTTGACTTGGGGAATTATCTTTAAAAAAAAAAACAGATTTTACATCTACCAAATGTTTGATGTTTGGCAAACACCTCAATAACTGACATTAATTGATAGTATGTTGGCAATACAAGACTTTTTTATATGAAAAATTCCACCATATTGACCATTTTATTGCAGACATAATTAGGCCTATGATGTATCATTTTCTGTTATTTTAACAGCAGCGTTAAGTTATCTGTCACTGTTTATTCTATACGTAAAAATAGAAACAGGTATAGATTTTGAGCTATAACGCAACTGTTAAAATAACATGAGAGGACACATCATAGGCCTGAATATCAAATGTCAGTTATTTCAAAAAAATCTGTTTTACAATCAACAGTTTTTTGTTTTTTACTAAGGACGAAATTATGGACTGACTGGTAAACGTCTGGTTGTTACCTAGCAGGTACTTTCTATGCACTAGAGAATAGAAAGGCCACATTTCCAATACCTATCTTAGATGAAAAACTGTTTTGGGATTTTTCGAATCAAATATCAGGAAGAAAATAAAATTCAAAATTGTTTGGCAAATTTTAAAATACCTATACACAAAATGAATTTGCTACTGGAACGTCAACTCCATGAAATAATGTGGATGGCTCACAATAAGGGGTACCACAACCACCTCCCACCCAGAATTTGTGCAAACATTTCCTCAAAGAGGAATTTTCCTCCAAATACCCTAACACAAATTCCTCCGATACCCCACAAATTCCTCCAAATTCCCTGCAATTCCTCCAAACGCCTCGCAAATTTCCCACAAATGTCTCTCCACATACATAATTGCTCGTGATAAGAAATGTATTTTTTTATTTTGCTCAGTGTTAAAATATAAGAGGAGTTTATCAAGTAGCATCAAGAGTAGGATCAAATGCAAGATTATGTTAGTTAGGTAACACTTTAGAGTTATAGTATAATGAAAGCAGGGGCGGGGGGGGGGGGGGGGGTTGAACTAACCTGAACCTGCATTTTATATTACTACCTATTTTGAAAAAAAAAAACTTTTTAGGAAATAAAAACAAATATAATACCGTATGATACATACCAAGTATAATACATATGTAGCTACTTTTTAAACAATTTAGGTAGGTATGTATATTATTCCACAATATATATGGAGGATATATTATGTACTTATTGTTTGTTTTTATTTTAAATTGGTCGTTTCCTTAAAGGGCAGGACCATAAAAAATAAACTTAATCTGAACCTTTGGGCATGGTCAGGCTGAGTACTTAGACCATACAAATGGGTCTAAATTCCCTTTCCATGAAAATAAGTAAACCCTTTTTTCAACGTTCAGCCTTTTTTCCATATAATATGAAACTAGAATACATACCTACTCGTATATATTACTTATTACATTTCATCAACTTCAATTCAAGTAGCTTGAAGTTTCTTTGCACGTAAGGAGATTTTGTACCTTTTTTTGAAATTATTATCAATGCGCTTTTAAAGTTCATCCTATCTTCTGGAACAATGTCAGAACTAACTAATAAATGTTCACTTTCATTGTGTTTTTCAATTAGCATAGAAATGATCTACGAAAATAATGCATTCTCCAATGGCCAATTTTTTTTTCTCAGTAGGCGATTTCCTAATATGGCCCCAATATGAATGGTATCTTAAATGAAGCATTCAAATCCAATCAAGTGGATCCCGAGGGGTGAACCACTATGCTTACAAATGTATGATGATTTCATATTTGGCAATCACTGATCAATGAATCTCATGTACTCCCATCTCAAGAATGGCGACTAATTCCCAATGATATTCAGATATTTTTGTATGATTACCAGGTGATTTCCATTTTTTCTGAGGATTCCTATATCATTCTCAATTGATCACCTGATTTCCTCGACGATTTCCTACAATCATTCGATTTCCAGCTCCAGCTGATTTTATTACGAAAAGATGTCTAATTGTTAAGCTTCGCATTGATAAGACCAAAATAAACAGTCTTTTCTCTTATAAAAACACGTTTCTACTGAAAACTTCTGTATTTGCAACTCTTCCAAAAGTTAGCAACTTTTATTATCATTCACTAACCCAAACTAACCCACATCGATTTTATCGTAGGTATCGGGTCTTCAAAAAAAAAAAACAATCAAAGATTGCTATGGTTTTTTAAACGTACGTCTTAGCAATATTTTTCTTTAATTTTGACAATGTCAGTCAATGAAATTCAATGTCAAAATGTTATGTCAAAAATCCCGACCAATAAAGAAACAATAATGCGGCGTACGTTTTCGTAACCAAAGCAATCTTTGATTGTTTTTTTTTTTGAAGAACCGATATAAATAGTTGTTGAGCCCTAGATACCATTAGGTGTGTAAACTGCATAATATGGATCTGAAATAATGGATATTTCTTTGATTTCACTTGGATGTTCATCTGGATAAGAGACATCTTTTACAGTTAGGGTTTCACTTGACAAACTTATTCTGATTTAGATGTGCTAGTGTCTCTGCTTCTCGTTCTGGCTCAGTATTTATTCTATTTTTTCTTTTCAAGTGCTTATTGCCTCGGATTCCCGACTTTTCCTTTTGTCTTTCCCCATTTTATGTCTTCTTTTGGCAAGTCGAATTCGAGAAAGGTTTCAAGATTCATGTTTTCATTTTTATGATCTACAACACTGTCATACTTTAGGTCTGTTCTCACAAAAATCACAAACCAGTCAGAGCGAATTTCATTGGTTGAAAATAGTCAGAAAACTGGTTGTTGGCGATTTGCCCCAATCAAAAACGCTTTGACTGGTTTGTGATTTCTGTCAGAACAGACCTAATTTTCATCTCTTTCTTCTTCTTCTTCAAGTTCTGAACTCTTCGTAGTCTTTGGTTCAATTATTGGCTCGGTTATTGGGAAACTTGTTGGGTTATCAAATACATTTCAAATTGTCTTTTTTTTTTTAGCACTCAGTGTTGCCTAAAACTACTGCCTATAATTTCCAATACTGTTTATGCCCGAGACTAGGGTGGAAATGTCCATATCTTCACCAAAACCCTTTCTTCGATGAATCGTAATTATTAGTTTTACCCCCTCAAACCACCTCCAAAGTAATTTGCAAGTCAAGTGAGGTTCCCCAAACAATGTTTTTTGGTACTGCCTACAATTTCCAGTATTTACTGTTTGTGCCCGAGACTAGGGTGCAAATGTCCATATTTCTATGTCTATGTGATTCCCAAAAAAATGTACAATAATTTCCACTATAGTCCGTTCATAAAGGCTATAGACATTTTCGACCTTGTGATCTGAGATTTTGGACGCTGATTGGATAGATTTAAATTGAGCGTTGATTGCCCAAGTCGACCCCCTAATTTTGGCCAATCAGCGTCCAAAATCTCAGATCACGCACTCGAAAAAGTCTACAGTCTTTATGAACGGAATTTAGTGGTTTACCCCTCGGTGGATCGAATTCCAAAAGGTTTTTCCTTGGCAGTTTTTGTAAAATTCTTCATTTAGATAAAAATTAAACTCATACATAATTCTTTTAAATTTGATTCCAATTAGTGTCTTTTAATAAGAATGTGAACCTCAGTGACGTAATTACCATAAATTTTCTCTAAATTCCTCATAAATTTCGCCTAATTCCCCAGAAATTCCTCCAAATTCTCTATAAATTCCCCCAAAACTTCATAAATTTTTCAATAAGTTCCTTCAAATTCCCCACAAATTCCTCTAATTTCTCCATATTTTTGGCAAAGAATGATGGTGGTTTGCCCCTTGGCTCACAAGCAACTTGTATTGAAGAAAAATATACACAGGATGTCATTTAAAATTTACCAAAAGGACTTATGCAGATGTCTATTAAAAATAGATAATAATAATAATAATAACAGAACTAAGTATAAGATGTTTTGCTGCCTTAAAGTTACATCAGGCACATTGAAGTTTACATATGGTAACAACTCAGGTACTTACATCTATATTGTTATTTAGAATATTATAGATAAAAAATTGATATCACAAAATTGTCTACATGTTTTTAATTCTACTACATTAAATTCCCCTAATTGCGTCTAATATGATAATAATATAAGGTGTGGAAAACAACATAAGTTACAGGATTCCAAATCACCTTCCTTCCAAAATGGTCAAATTTCAATTTTTTTTGTATGTAGAAATTTCGACTCTTGACGATAATTTGGGACCCAGAAACTCCATATATACATTGATTTATTGAAGGATTTGAAACCGAAATCTCGGACCTCGGTAAAATTGAAAAATCTAAAAATTCACCCCAAATTCCTTAAGGCCATTTTTTTCTCAGGGACTATAAGTCCAAATGAGCTGAAATTTTGCAGGGTCTGTAGATCTCTACTGGGATAAGAATCGCTGAAAAAATCAAGTCAAAACGTAGATACCTTAGTACTTCGATAAAAGCCGATTTACAAGGAATTTGAGTTTTCATTTGTCTCAGATCCGCTACCTACATGACGTAGAATAATAAGTTTGTTAAATAGTGTTTCAATCATAAATTAATGAGCTTTCGAGGTTTGAGAGTACCTTATCGAACATGAAACCGCTTTTGAAAAAAATCCCAAAGTTATACAAAACATAAAAGCAAATTAATTTTATTGTTTTTTTCAGTAGAATGGATTCAGCAGAATCCTCTGATACAAGCACTCCAGATTCTGCCACGGCCAAAAGAGAGAGGAATTTTCCTGTGTTAGATTTGAAAGACCAAACAACCCTGTCAACCGATACCCATCCAGTTTTAATAGTTCAAAGTCCAAAAACTCCAACATTATCCAGAAAGTTGAAAGCAGTCAGTCTTGATAGCGAACCTCAGCAACAAACCAGTACATTAGAGGTACAGTTCTAATTTTAAAGTTTTTGTAATTTAATAGTTTCTTCCAGCTATCCAGAGATGTTTTCTCAATGCCCAACACCCCCAAGAAACAAATCAAACAGAAACTATCTTGCGACTTCGACGACGGACCTCCAAAAACCACCCTAGCACCTTTCCAGCCCAGTTCGAACCTCAAAAAATTCGCCTCGAACAACAGCATCAGTGGCTCACAAACTTTAAAAACCCTACCTGAAATCAATGCTTTGCAAGACTTCTCCGACTGCCCCAACCCAGAACCACAAAAAGTTCGCACAAAGGGACTGTTGGAAAGGCGAGGCTCGAACGCTAGTTTGACTATAGATTTGGGATCGAGTCAGAGTATTCCGGAGGTGAAACCAGTGCCTTTGAGCCGACTCAATACTGCTAAGAGTGTGTCGAATTTGTATTTGAGTTCAATGAGTGCAGTTGAAAAATGTGTTTGTGTTAAAAAGACTATGGTGGATCTTACTAAGGTAGGTTATTGATATTTTGTACTTGTTTAATTATGCAGTTCTTGATTAATTCAATCTTGGACTAATCAAATTCATAAATATTTTTCTACTACCAATGGTTTTTTTTTCTAGGCCAGTACAGTAAGTACAACAACAAGCAGCAGTAGTTCAGAGCGCAGAAAGTCTCAGGAAGCTTGCGGCAACTGCACCATTTACGAGTTCGAGCCCAAACTTAGCTCGTGCAAGAGTCGTTGCCAGTATCTGAAACGGTGTCATTGCTGTGCCAAATCTCGCAGGAAATCTTTGTCGAACGAGAACCTTTATGTACCTCCTTGTGGCTTCTGTGAAGGGGAAAACAAAGAAAGCACAGATATACGAAACGGAAAAGGTAAAGTTGGATCAAACTTAAAACTGACATCTTTCATATTAAAGTACAGATCAACATCAGGTAAAATTTAGGTGGGAAAAACTAATTAATATACTACATTTTAATATTCAACAATTTTTTTGTTCTACTAGCTAACAATCGCAAAGCATTGTTTCCAAGGCAGCCAGATTTGGACTCGTCTCAGCTTTCCGATGAGTTCAAGTTGCACCTACAAAACGTACAATACCTACAGACAGCTGGTAAAACTATGACCATTGACGATTTGAGGCAATCTTGTGAGGTAAAAAAAAATAATGAAATTTTAATATTCTTGTATTATACCTTCGTTATTTTAGCGTATACCAAAACTTCAGCAAGAATTCTGGGAAGTTCCGTTGAATTTACAAGAAAAATGTTACGTTTCTGGAAGCCAAAGTAAAAACAGATATAGAGGAGTGTTACCTAATGAGCATAGTCGAGTACATCTTGTAGGCAGTGGCAGTTATATACATGCTAATTACATAAAGGGTCCAGATTATACAGAAACTGCTTATATTGCTACACAAGGACCATTGGCTCATACTTGTATAGATTTTTGGGAAATGGTTTGGCATTCACAAGTAAGCCATTGTCTGAATTATATTTTTTTTATTGCCAATATTATATTTTTAGTGTAAGTGCATAGTCATGCTTACCGGCCTAGTAGAAAAAGGCCGTAACAAATGCGAGCTCTACTTCCCTCTAGGTAAAAAATCACACACTCAAGAAAAAACTTTTTTCTACGTAAAAACCGCAAAAATTCGTGACAAATTCACATTCGACTGCGGCTCAACCAACACCAATACGTACGACATTGAAACTTACGAGTTTGAAGAAAAAAACGAAGTAACGTTCGCCCAATATCGTATAACTTACGCTGGAAGACGGGACTTGGACGAGTGTCAAATTAGACAGTTGGAACTTAGGAGGACGGACTTGAATGCGGAAACGAGAACGATTCATCATTATTGGTTGTCGAATTGGCCGGATCATAAAAAGACGAGCGCTGAGCAGGTTCTCAAGCTGGCCGTGGACGTTTTGGGGTATCTGGATAATGGCAAAAGTGACATATCAGGTAAGAACTTTTTGGTTTTAATAGGACTGTTGGTTTATTTAGAACAGTGGAATAAGACTTAGTAAGATCTCAGAAACTTCGAGAAGTGATCACCTTGCGCTAAACAAGGGGGAGGCTGTAGCAAAGGTTTTTTTGATTTACAATAATTGGGTTAGTCTAGGATTGTGCTGCAGAAGCTTGAGAGTGGGCAAGCAATCCTTCGCGTTGGCCTAAGGAGGCAAAGCTACAAAATGCTGTACTGTGATTGGTTGATTTTGTAATTCTTCCCTGGCAGGAAAAGAAAAGATTCTTACATCAGAATTAGTCAGTATCTAGAATAATTGTTTTACTTTTTCTAGATTTTGAGTATTTTACAAAAATAGGAAAGTCAATCACACCTCACCCCAGTGATAAATATTATTTGAATAAAAATTTAACAAAATATTGCAAAAATAAGGGAATAATACCCCTTGATATTGATATGGAGAAATTAAAATAAATCCTGAAATGTATCTTACCCTTACCAATATCAAATATTTTCTAAATAAAATTAATTTTTAGAATCTCCTAGTACAAAACCCAAAGAGCACATGGAAGCACAACAAATTGATCTCAAAGAAGTAGACAGCTCTATCAGAGTGCCTACAAAAAACTATCAAGATATCAGTGATTGTAGCACGAATAGTAGCCAAAAAAAACCTTTCAATTTTGACATAGCAAATAGTGACAATTGCATGGAAACTACAGTAACGTGTAGTGACACGCTACAAGTGACCCAGTCTCACATAGAGACTGAAACTTCGAGAAGTATAACCTTCAACAATAATCAAACTTCTAACTGTAAATTCAGTTTTGGTGAATCAAGTAGAAATCAATCGAAATTTAATTACCAAGAATCGAATAATTGTAGCAGTCAAATCAGACACGAACTAAGCCAAACAAAACGTGACGTGTCTATATCGGACTTTAATAAAGAAACTTTAGCTAATCGGTGCAGCTTGGACTCCAAGCTTCAGAATCTCAATAAAATGACCGAATTCAAAAGTCATTTTAAAAGGGAATTGGGTCCGTTAAAAGTCGGACACGAACGAAAAAAATCCATGGAACATATTCGGCTTCCTATTATAGTTCATTGTAGCGCCGGTATCGGTCGTACCGGTTGTTTTTTGGCCATCTTAAACGGAATCCAGCAATTAAGGTTGAATAATACTGTAGATGTTTTAGCAATTTTGTGTTCGTTAAGATTAAATAGGGGCGGTATGGTACAAACTGCCGAACAATATGAACTGATACACAGAGTGTTGAGTCTTTACATTGACACGATGTGAGTTTGAGTAAATTTTGTTTGTTAGATTTGTTTTGTTGTTTCTTATGTATAATTTAGTTGAACAATTTGTTTTTTGATTGGTGCTACAGAGTGCAATATATTTATTAGAGAGTTATTAGACATTTCTAATGTTGTTGCAGTATTTATAAATACTGCAACTGGTGGCATTCCTAATAACTCTTCATTATTTGCAATTTAAGTAAAACCTCATCTCTAAAATCCAAATGTAATTTATTTATTTATCTACTATTTATGTTGTTAGAATGTAAATGAAATGAAAATTCAACTGAAAATCTACTGAGCCAATTCAAGAATGATTTTGTATTGTTAAAAATTATTATTATATGTACAGTATATGATATAAAGGCTTATGTAGATTTTTGGTACAATTATTACAATTACACCTAAATGTGTTTCATTTGACTAATTATTGTTTACCATTAAAAAGTAAGTTCAGCTTTAGCCCAAACGATTCTTTATTTTTATAGTTAATAAAATCATATTTGTATATTTTTTTTTTTTTTTTTTTGAAAAAACTATCTATGTATTATGTGATATAAATATTTTTTACCCTTAAATCTTGTAAATATTTTTATATTTTTTTATATTATTATGTTGTTGTTGATTCTGTATGAAACTTATATGTAAATGTTTTTATTGTCGGATAATTTATGTGGTGGTTGATTATAAAAATATTAATTTAATTGTTTTATGTATCAACAAACAAAAAAAAAATTAAAGAAATATAAAACATTATTTAAGCAATACACACAGGGTTGGTATTTTGAATTTTGTTATTTCTTTTAATAGTGCACAATGATTTGTGATACATAAATATTCGAGAAATTTCTTACCTACCTTTTTTAAATAGGAAAATTTTGAAAAATAATCAGATTAGTTTTATATAAGTCGACATTACCTCATATCAGCTTTATAATGCATATTTGTAAAGTGCAGCACTATAATAGACAAACCTATGGAAATAGAATGAGCTGTAAAAAAATATATTGGTTTCAAAATGTGGCAAACATTTATTTATTTATTTTTTTTGATAAAGAAGGTCAATCAAGCTCCGGACAACTATGGACTGTCTTAACATTTTTGTCTATTATAAAATAGTGCTTTATATTTATTTATATTGCTCTAATCTCTTTTTATTTTGTCAGAGACAAGTCATATTGAGTACATGGAATTTGGAAATCCAAAAATGGCGAAATTTCTAAAAGAGTGAATTTTTTACCATGATGTTAAGCTTAAGTCGCAAAACATATTAACTTCCTATAATGATTATTTTCATAGGTTAATCAAAATGAAATCCTAGCAAATTGTGTGGTTGTCTTAAGTATTATACTTAGCTATAATATGTCAGTGTAGATCAATATTTTTTTTGGTAGTACAAATTATTTATGTTTTCTTTTTTTTTTTGTATTAGTAAATCTTGAGTAGAGAAATTGTCGAGTGAATGTTTCACAATAAGTGAAAAAATTGGACAAGAAGAGAGTACTTGGATGTTATACTGAATTACTCATTTTATTCATTTGGATTGTTTTTGCCTGTTGCTTCTGTATAAATCCATGCTCTCTTAAATCTTCAATAATGTTCATATACATATTTGTATGTAAACTGAAAAATTATAATGTTAGGTGTATGTGCCATATTATTCTAATACATACTAACATGTCGAACAATACCAATACTTATTGCTGCATTTTGGCAGATATCTTCTTTTTTTGTATAAGCAACTTTTTGGATAACATCTTCAAGAATTGATAAATAAATAAATAATATTAATAATAAACATCCTTTCAAGGGATTCGTATTTGAACGTTTTTTAATTGTGTCAAATAAATAAAATACATATGAATTAATGGTGTTTTATTTTTCTCATTCCTCAAATTTCCACAATAGTTTTTTAAAGAATATACAGGGTGTCCCACGACGTTTCTCCCAGTGGGCCGATCCTCGGGCCAGGGAGTGGAACTCCCCGAGAGAACAAAATTTTCGTCTTTATCATTCTCGTTCACTTTTGGATTACGTTGACAAGGACAAAACATTCGTTCTATCGGGGAGCTCTACTCCCTGGCCCGAGGATCGGCCACCAGGTAATAACTTCGGAACGCGTCATCCAATATAATTGAAATTTTGAGAATCTTGGTAACTTTTTGTGCCACTTCTACCATTGTCATCCAATTTCGGTCAAGTGACGTCATCTTTCGAATCTTAAATGTAACTCATGGTATATTATGGCATTTTCGTTAGAAAATTAGATTACAAAATCGGTAATGCCATATTTGTTAAGGCTTTGTTAAAGAAAATGATAAAAAAATTATACAGTGGAACATACGATGATGCGTTCCGAAGTTATCATTTGGGAAATACCTCGTGGGACACCTTGTATATATGCATTTGGTAATTCGTTCTTTTTTGGATTAAAAGTCTCCATCTACAGGGTATTTTCCTATATACATAGAGGGTGAATCCAAAATGGCGTATAAGCTCTACACCAAGGTTGTTTGAGAGAAGTAGGTTGCCTGATAACTTTATGTCGTTATCTTATGTAAATTTGCATTATGTTGAGGCACCCTAGATAAGGTAACTTGATGACGCATCTGCTGGGGTGCCTTATATAGATTTGCATTATGTTGAGGCACTCTAGATAAGGCACCCCAGCAGATGCGTCATCAAGTTACCCATTACCAGGGAACCTATTAACTTTGGGAACCTTGCTCTCCACTGCGTCATAGGGGACCCTTTAGACATCAGGAAACCCCAAAAAAATATTGAAAAATTGTGCAAAAATACGTGAACTTTGCCAGTATTTGCTCTACTAAATATAGTGATCTCTGTAACGGTGATCTAGAAAAAGATAAGAACTTGCGCTGCAAATTAATCCCTACACTTTGTCTATCTCCCTTGCTCTTATATGCAACTATTCTGAATATAAGCATTTTCAAATCAGAATATCTATCGAGCAGGAATCTAGAGCTGGAATCGGTTGCTAGTAGTGTGACCCACCCACTCTGGCCGCGTTTGGTTTCACGCACGGTGCACTCAGATCTTGCACTTTTGTCTCTCTTCTGATTTTTGAAGCTCCGACAACCCTTGATTGTGTTTGGTTTGACATATTTTGAGCGCTCCGAGCGAGCTCGATAAACTCCGAGTTTGTGGAGTGGGAAGCTGGAGCGTAAATACGCAGATATTTAGATGTGTTTAATTCAGCACATATTGCAACGATTGAACGATTTCAGTTACAGCATTTTCGACTTTGCTGCTCCCAGAGTCCATTCCCTGTATGAGCGGTGACGTCACAGATTTCTGCGGGAATGCTTCGAGAGCGATTATGCCGATAGTCCGTGCGTTCGGTATTTTGATCCGAGTTCTCCGAGCTTGAATATACCGTTCGTTTATTTAAAAAGTGTACTCGGTGCAGGCTCATTCGCGTTCGTTTATTAAAATTTCGGGCACTCGAATAATGCGTTCAACAGCTCTGTTCGCTCGCTGGTCACGTAATTACGGCTCCGCTCAGCACGCTCTTCTCTTTGAACAAAATACCGAACGCAAGGTATATTCCATCGAATTTGACGGAGCAAGGAAGAGTACTCCGTGCGAGATTTGAGAACAACGTTTCGATCGGGAGCAGTTTTCAGACCTCAGTCCTAGAACGGAAGTACTTTTTTTAAATTAACGTCGGTTGAATGCATCTTTTTTTCCCGCCTAGAAATGTTCGAATTTTGACCATTACGACCGTTACCGACTTCAAACCACCAGTATCGAGCTGGGTTGCTGCGCAGGAGCTGCTCAGCTCGGTTGCTGCCAACTTCTCGCTTGCTGCCAACTTCTCGCTTGCCCTTTGCCCTGCGTTCAGTTCAGTTTTAGTTTGCATAAACTTTGAACTAAAGATTGCAAATTTTAAGGTTATTTTATTTGGATTGTGTATTTATTTATTTTTTTACCGGTTTTTTATTTTGTCTTTTACTACTGTGCTGTGAACTATATTTCGACGATTTTTCTTCGTGTATTTTAAAGAGTTTTTATTTTTTTCGTGAATTGTGTTTCTAGGTAGGTATTTAATTTTTTTATCTATTTATTATTTATTTCAAGACTTGAAACTCTACTCACTTCACACACAATCTAAAGTACACACACTGAAGTGGTGTCACAAAGGAAAAGAAATGTTGTGTGCATGGAGTTGCTGTTTACTGAATAATTTCAAAAGGTTGTTTGCACAGAAATTACAAACCAGTCGGAGTGAATTTCATTGGTTGAAACTAGTATTCTGACTATTTTCAACCAATGAAATTCGCTCGAACTAGTCTGACTAGTTTGTGATTTTTGTGCGAACAGAATTGAAAAACTAATTTTTATGGTGGATTTAATACACTTGATTTTACTTTTATGCTGAAAGTTTTCAGATTTTATTTTTGACCAGTGAAATTATCCCGTCATTGCGTTTGGGTTAGGAGTCGACCATCAAATATCAAATGAGCGTTTGCCTAGTCGCTTACAGTTGACAGATAAACAATGTATTAAACGTCATTTGTCAATCAATTGGTCCCAAATGACGTTTATGCATTAGGCATCTGTCAAGGTTACCAACTGGGGCCCGATTCTCGTTCCCAGGGACCTTATTCATGAAACAGGGGAGCAGCGTTCCCAGGAGAACGAGTGTTCTGTCTTTGTTACTTATATTATCAGTTGCATATCCATATCGTTGAGAAAGACGGAGCACTTGTTTTCCTGGGAACGCTGCTCCACTGTTTCAAGAATAGGGACTCTGGGAGTAGTAGAACTCCCCGAGAGAACAAATGTTTTGTCCTTGTCAACGTAATCGAAAAGTGAACGGGAATGATAAAGACGAAACATTTGTTCTCTCGAGGAGCTCTCCTCTCCCTGAGACGAAAACCAAGACCCTGGGTCCTTATTCTTGAAACAAGGGAGCAGCGTTCCCAGGAGAACGAGTGTTCCGTCTTTCTCAATGATGCAAATGATAATATAAGTAACAAAGACGAAACACTCGCTCTCCTGGGAACGCTGCTCCCCTGTTTCAAGAATAAGGACCCTGGTCAGTCGCTTAAAAACTCCAAATCACGAGTTTGCGCATTGACTTGACTAGACACTAGCGACATGCTAGCGACGTCACACACATAACCTCACTTTCGATGCTGAAATCACAAACCGATCAGAGTAAATTTCATTGGTTGAAACTAGTTTTCTGACTGTTTTCGTGTTTTCAACCAATGAAATTGTCTCTGACTGGTTTGTGATTTCTGCAGAAATAGACTTATAGTCTATCCATTGGCCTATCCAAATCCAAAACACGTGACTTTGACAAGCAAAATATGGCCGGAAAGGGTTTGTGTGCCTCTTGGCGCGGATATTTTAATTTAAGTTTGACAGCATCTTGAATACATCGCTCTCTCTTGCTCTACTCCCGTGGCGTCATAGTTGTACCACAGCATATACAAAAACAATCAGCAGGCTAACTTGAGTGACAACCCGTGTAATAAAGGAATTCATCGTCGAAATGTCACTAGCGGCCATTTTGGGATACGAAACAGGACCTGATTAACGATAATTTAGGTTTTTTCTTTCCTGTCACAGAGTCGTATTGGCTTTAGATAAACTAATTTATTATTACTTACATAGTTACATATAATAATACTTATAATTACTAATTTATTATTTTTATTATTAAATATACAACAATAATAACAGATAACACTATAAATGACAACACGAATATACTAAAATCACTTCGCAAATCTTAACTAAAATTCCGCTCCACACCGCACGCCTATGACCTCCGTCAGAAATAAACAAATAAAATAAAATTTCAGCGCCCCTGCCGTTTAATGACAGGATGGTATCCCCTAATGGCGGCGTGCGCAGAAAAAATGCGCGTGAGAGTTAGCCTGCTGATTATTTTTGTATATGCTGTGGTTGTACTATGCGTACAAGAACATAAATAGGGTCGGACTGCTTATTGAGCTGAAAATTTCTGTCATTTCAGCCGCAGACCTCATCTCTTGACGTGAAATGCATTAGCTAAGTTTAAAACAGTATAGGTCGAAAAAACGAATTCCTAAACGTTATATCTTGTTAAAATCACCTTTTCTCTACATTAAAAACGACGAAAAAACAAGCACAACAATCGCAAGCATCCCATCGAGGCCTGCCGGTGACGTCACCAATATAAGCTGCGTTGCTGCTAATAGTGGTGACATCACTCACAGGCCTTGCAGCCTCTAGAATTGGCGAACGTACGCCTTTATGAGGATCAGCAATCCTGTTTAGGTTACGATTCTTGTTGCGCCTATGCGTGTCACGCTGTGTATTGTCTTCTATTGCCTAGTATTTAGTGAATATGTACGTGGCTCTCTCTCTTACTTTTTACAATGCTTCCGAAACTATTCCCCCTTCCAGCAACTGAGACACACACCAGTCCCACAGAAGGGGGACGCGCATCTGTAGTGACGTCGCAAGGATATCGGCGCTTGACAATAATAGGCAATTGTCTTCGCTTATTATATCCTTGGTTTGTGTTCGTCGATTATTATTATCATTGGCTGTCTTTCTCCGTCTCTCTATATGTTATATGCCTTTCTTCTCTCTCATGTAACGAAATTTACTAAAACGTGACGTTACGTGACGCGTCTTTCAAATCACACTCCAGTGGCAGTAGCAAATTAACACATTTTACCAGGGACGCAACAAGTACCAGAAGTATAATAGACCACACAACTCCTGAAGACAGTCAGCGACAACGAAGGTCCACGAGTCAGTCGCACAGCAGAACAAATCACTGTAACAGTTTACAAACCAGTAGGACACTAGACAGGCCACGACGATTGTCCACAAGCCAGTGAGACAATTGAACAAACCATAGGATTGCCCACCAGCCAGTGGGACAACTTTTAAGCCACTATGTCTTTAAGCCATACAACTGTCCACAAGCCAGTGGGACAATTGAACAAACCATGGGACTGTTCAACAACCAGCGAGACAGCCCATAAAACCACTAGAACAGTTTACAAGTTCCCACAACTACCCACAAGCCAGTGGGACAGCCAATAAAGTACTACTACTTCCAACAAGTTACTCTGCCCACAAGCAAGTTGGGAAACAGAATCTAGTAATCTGACGAAACCGAACGGAGAAGAAGCTGTAATTTTTGTAAGCACGTGATGTTCTTGGTGGCATCGCTGACCACAAACAACCTAAGCGTGACAATATTCTTGTCCAAATATCGGACCGCCGCCTAAAAGAAATTTCACTTCAAAAATCATGTACAGCTTACAGTCGTGAGCATAAAAAGTGGGACACACGACTGACAGGTCTTGTCATTTTTCGCTATTTTGGGTAAATCAGTCTTTTCTCTACAATGGATTTTTTGTCAATTATGACAATCCCTGTCATTGCCGTAGGTATAGCTGATGACCTCATTTTACAATAGGGAAAAACGGGTGTCCCACTTTTTATGCTCACGACTGTACATACAGCCCCGTACACATGGTAGAAGTGAAACTTCTATCGCTTCGTCACGTCGCTCTCTCTTGCTCTACTCCTACTCCCGTGGCATCAGAGTTGTAATGACACTCCTTATTTTCTTCCATTGCCTAGTATTCAGTGAATACGTGGCTCTCTGTCTTGTTTGTACAATGCTTCCTAAAATATTCCCCTTTCAAGCAACTGAGACTTTGGACTTAGCAGCGCACGAGTGGGGGTAAAAGACAAAGGACTACACAAACGGGAGACGTGGATAGCCGAAACTGTGTATAAAGATATATATACAAGCTATAGCTCTCTTTTTCCTGCTCTCTACATTATATTTGTTTTCTGTCTCGTGTACGAAATCGGTCTAAACGTGACGCGTCTTTTAAATCACTCTCCTTTCTCGTCTAAGAAGTTTCACTTCAAAACTATCCTCCCTCATATAGCTTTTAGCGTATGAGTCGAGGTAAAGACGAAGAATCACACAAAAGGGTGACGCCATTGAGGTAGAATAATAAGGAGGCGAAATGACGGGACAAACATGTGCCCAGTTCCGCCATATTGTGAGTGTTCTTCTGTCTGAAAGTCTGTCACTTTTGTCATAGCAACGCGACAGTTATGCATCAGGGCCGCATTTTCCATTCGAAGATGTTTTAAATGCGAAAAATTTTTGTAGCGCAGAATTTCTATTTTGGGTCTTAAAAGGAACTTCTGCTTCAGTATGTTAAAGTTTCTGTAGCAACTTCTTCTTTCTTGGCGTAATGTAGATTTTTTACGTTTTTAGATAAAAATTATAAAGAATTTATTTAGTTCGGCTCTGTGCGAGTAGCCATCTTGTTAGGGCCTTTAGCCACGCCCACCGATACCGTTTTTATTCTGCTATTCAAATGCTGACAGCGTCTCCCTATTATTCTACCTCAATGGGTGACGCACATCTGTAGTGAAATAAGTGCGGTAAAGTGCTACTTTTCATTTGCAAATGAGTGCGGTAGAGTGGGCACGCTCCTATGTAAAGTAAATTGAAGTTCATCCGAGTTACGAGGATGAAAGCTGAAACGGGTTGATCTTTTTGGGGGTGGAAAATTTTCACGATTCACAGCTAACCTGTCCTATCGGAAAAAGTGTTATTTAATAGTTGTATAGGTTATAGAAAGGCCTACAACTTTTGTATGAACCATTTTTCCCATGTCTCAAAGATTTCCGAGAAAAGTAGGAAAAACCTTCTTTCTCATAGGTATTGTAGCAAAACGCAGTCAAGTACTCTGTTTGATTAGTTAGATCATAGATGGTAAATGACGAGCGGTATATTGATGGTGTTTATTTCCTTGAGCGGCTACCTGTGAAATTGTGGAGGGGGTCTATTCGCAAAAGAGAGAAACAAACTATTGAGGTTTACTAAATTATATTTTATTATACTTAAAACCAAAATTAAAATAATCAAAGATCTTTATATGTCTGACAGCCACTTCTATTTTTCCCAAATCAAATTATTTCACATCCGTTAAAATTTCATTATTACGGACGAGGAAATATCTATACTAAAAACGCCCTACTTCTTTTATTCTTAATAACTTATAAGTTTATACTTTACTCTTCCAAACAACACTTCTGATTCACATTCCTATTAAAACTACCCTTCACCTATATCTATTAATTCTTAAAACTCTTATGTCATTTACTGACAGCTTATGCAAAATAATTATTTAAGTTATAATCCTACTCACTGGATTAAGTACATATGTATTATCAACTATATTTTTATAAAAACCTTACAATAATTTCTAAATGAAAAGACCCTAATTCAAAATTTCAGCACTTAAGGTCAACAATCTCATTTCGTGAACAAGTTTCTTGTCAAAATTTCCCATTATATTTAATGATTTACCTATTCTTTTACTAAGGATCAATTTAAACAGAACAATTACTATTTTTGAATTCCTAGCCAACATACACAATTATTTAAATTCTTATTAGTTCCTTACTATAGCCCTTCAACTTCAATTGGACAACCCAATTCAAAATTCTTTAATAATTCCAACTCAAAATCGAATATTGCTAAGAGCATTATAATTTTCTTTTGTTAATTCTTTGCAAAATTAATCAAAATGTCATTATACTCGAAGGTAATTAAATTTATGCAATATTGTTCCATAGTCAAAACACTCGAGTTATTAATATTTATGGAATAAGTTCCAAAGTTAATTCACTTCATAGTCAATCATCATTTATAAAGTCAAAAAGTTTTACTAGTCACTAGAGTACTTACATTTAACTTTTCACACGTTAAAATACTTAATTAATTAATTTCAAAAATCTCTAGAGCTCGCACATAATGTTGAACGAATTAAAATGTTCTTTCTTTCACAATTTTTCGTTACTTTTTCAAAGATCTAATCAAACGCGTTTTCCCCGAGGCAAAAATAAAAGAAACTCTCCGCGAATTTTTATCCGGACTGACTCATTAGGTACTGTAGACTTTAACTCAAACTGAACTGAACTAACAATTCAACTGCTCCTCCACTTCTAAAACCGCTGTATTTATATGTTTCGTTTCCCCAAAAATTCATCATTCAATAACCTTCCTCTTTTATTTGTTTAAAATCGAATAATTATGTCGCAATTTCCTGGTTTATCGGGGTCAACAGATTTGGTTTAAGAATGTGAGGACAACAAAAGACATTGTAAATTACGGGTCTATTTTCCCGGGTCATTACAGTATCTTCTACAATTTTTTCTTTTTGTTCGCTAAATTTGGTGGAAACTTATATGTATTTTTTATGTCCCTAACACGCTCTTATTTTTTTAAATCAAAATATTTATTTTTACATTTTACCAAATAGATACCCATATTTATGCTGGAAATATTTTTTTTCAAAAACACAGTGGTCCTTTTCTTCGTTGAAACGTTCTTATGAAAAAATAAACGTTACTATGGAAAAATTTGCCAGGAACAGGAAACGCGTAAAACTGAATATAAAATATTAGAAGACGTCCAGTGGAGTTATGAACACTGTAGGATAGTGTAAAAATTATGGTTCAAAGTCGCTTCAACAAAGATTCTACGAAGATTAATCAGATCAACAGGAATTTGGATTTTCAGTTTGGATTTTACTTTAAAATTATTCAGTAACTACTTTTCTTTCAGATATATTTTTTTTTACAACAAAATGAGTTCGAAAAGAAGAAGAAACGACCCAAACAATAACGACGAACCAGTTGCCAAAAAAACCAAATTAAATATTTCCAAAGCAAAATCGGAAAGATGCGACCAATGCAAGCAAAACTTTGATAACATACCTCTGTACAACGGACATCCTGACAAATCCAGTGAAGAATTTATCGCATTGACTGACGAAAAATTGTCCATTTTCACTGATCAAGATGATTTTCCTACTCATAAAGTAACCCGATCATTTGAATGTTTTATAAGCTCAATCCACTATTAAAGTTTTCTATATTTCAGATCACTCATTTCAGCGTTTATGATGAGAAAGGCCACTTATGCGGCTTCGATGCAGGATTAATTGAGGAAAATGTGAGCCTTAGATTTTCTGGATATATTAAAAAAATTGACGAAGATGATTCTAGTATAATAAATGGCGTTCCTGCTTATGATCTGGGACCCATTTTAGAATGGTAAGTATGGTATCTAGCAAATGTATTAGTGATTTTGTATTATAAATTTATTGTCCATTTACTCTAGGTACACGATAGGCTATGACGGTGGTATAACACTGGCTATAAGTTTCTCTACTGAATTTGCCGAATACATTTTAATGGAACCCAGCCAAGAGTATTCTCCAATTTTCGATAAAATACGAAAAAAAATCAAAATAATGAAAGTGGTCATTGATTTTCTATTAGACAATTACATGGACGATCCATCGTATGAAGATTTAGTGCGTCATCTCGAAAGTATTGGGGAAAGCGAGGCTGTTGAGGATTTACCTATACACTATGCACAATTCGTTTGCGATCAGGTAAAATTTTACATTATGTTGTTTTAGTTTGTGTAACAATCTTTTTCAGGTTGTAAATGTGGATAAATCGTCTGAAGAAGAAAAACCTTTGATTTCATTACCGTGTATGAGATCTTTGGTAAAACTAGCTGGAGTGACTTTTAAGAAAAGAAAATCAGCATTAAAATTAGAAACTAGAGTATGTTTCTATTTATTTATAATCTATTAAAATATGTGTAATTTTGGGTAGGGCAATTTTATTGGGAAACGACAATCTCTGAGCGAGATACAAAGACATTAATGCCATACGCTGAGGCTTTGTTGGCCTGCATTCAAGAATTCAAAATATTCAAATACAGGAGAACAGTAATTTTTTTCTGCTTACCTTACAGGGTTTTAAAACCAAAAAACCAAGTTGGACTCGAGCTGTTACAACAAAATTCGTACATGAATTTTTCGGAAAACTATTTCCCGATCAACTGGACAATGACGATAAAATAATCAAGAAAATCAAGAAACAAAAATGTGGCATTTGTGAGGCATGCCAATCTCCAGATTGCGGCGAATGTTCCTCGTGCAAAGATATGCCGAAATTTGGCGGAACCGGAAAATTGAAGCAATCTTGCAAACAGAGAAAGTAAATTTATTTCTTGAATAAACACAGTTAAACGAGTTTCAATATTTTAGCTGCCCATATATGGCAATAATGGCTGCAGAAATTTCGGATAACGAAGACGAAATAGATGATAAAATTAAAACCAAAAAAAGCAAGCAATATTGTAAAAAAATTATTCACAAAAATATTAAATGGGGGGCAAAAGCTGAGAACAAATTTAAAGGTTTTAACAGCTATTCATCTGTGACTGTTGGTAAATTTTCATTTGATGCACAGTAGAATTATTACCAAAGCATTATTTCTAGGTGATATGGAAATAAAAGTAGGAGATTTCGTAACTATCAAATCCGAACCTCCAAATGAACCCTTATGGGTAGTCAAAGTTGTTGCCATGTATGAAAACTCCTGGAAAAAATCTCAATTTCATGGTCTGCTGTTCTGTAGAAGCAAAGACACCATTCTGGCAGACACTGCTGAGCCTCAAGAAATATTTTTGGTTGATGAGTGTGACGATTTATATTTGGGCAGTATTTTCAGAAAAGCAAATGTAAACTCCTACTCTCTGCTGTAATAATTGATTTGCATTGAAAGTAATTTTTTTAGGTAAAATATATTAGAATGTCAGATAACTGGTCTGAGTTAGGAGGAACTTATAGTTCAATTGAGCAACTGGAAGATAATGGCGAAGATTTTTATTTCTCTAAGAGATTTGAAAATAAACTGAGCAGATTTGTTGATATTAAAGATGAAGAAATAAATGAAGAGGGATGTATTTCTTGCAAGTAAGTTCCCAAATTTTGCTATTAGTTGATATTTATATTAATATTATTTGTAGAAGGAAAGCCAAAGATAAAAAATATGTCAATCCAGACTATGACAAACCTGAAAATGTGATTAAATGGAAAAAGGATGCCTTCAAAGTTGGCAGTGGAGTTTTGCTTAAACCAGAGGTTTATGAATTTACCACAGCATTTCCTGAGCCTACCTATGAATTGGTAATTTTCCGTTTTTCAAACAGACAGTTTCTAAACGAGTCTTTTCTATTAGAAATCCAACGTTGACCCAATTATTTATCCAGAGTACTACAGGAAAAAATTTACTGATAGTGTGAAAGGGTCAAATGTCAATACCCCAAGACCCTTTATTGTTGGCATTATAGAAGAAATATTGAATAAGAAAGATGACATAGAAATATCTGTGAGATTATTTTGCCGGCCAGAAGAAACAGGAAGCCGACTTTCAAGTTACACATCAGATTTGACATTAGTTTACTGGACAGGAAAGGGTGCATATATATATATTCATTGTATAAGAAATAATAATGATTACATGATGTTATTTTTTTGTAGTAATAACAACATCCTTTAAAAACGTAACAGGAAAATGTTACGTCACTTTTTCTGATAACGTCCAGTCCGTGTCTAAATGGTCTCATGAAGGACCCTTGCGGTTTTATTTTGGAAAAATGTTTGATTTAAAAAACAAAGAGTTTTGTGAAGTTCCTTTAAGTGCGCAAAGGATAGGGACTGTTGGAAAAGGTTAGTATTGGTTAGTTATATAATATGGTTTTTGCAAATCAGATGATTTAAGGAGGTAAATCAAAAAGCAAAGTTTTCACAAGTAAATACGCGGAACTGCCTCCAGCATGGGAAAAACTTCAGCAACCTCTTAGATCAATGGATATTTTTGCCGGTTGTGGTGGACTAACAGAGGGCTTGCATCAGTCTGGAGTTTGTGATACAAAATGGGCTGTAAGGGTTTTTATTCTCGTGAGTTTTGAATTTATTTGACTTTTTTGCTAGATTGAATTGGACAAGACGGCAGCAGAAGCTTTCAGGAAAAACTTTCCGGATGCCAAAGTATTTACTCAAGATTGCAATATGATATTGAAAGATATTCTTGATGGTGAGAAAATGTTTAAGTTGAATTATTCATGCATACCGAATGACTTGTTTTGAATATTTTAAAAAAAAAAATTGTGTAAATAAATAAGCTATAAGTTTTACCACATTAAAGTTGTAAAAATCTACTTTAAAAGTGGTCTAGAAAGTATGTTTGGTACAGTCCAATACCAAATTGTGCATGTATGCCCTGTTTTACAACTTACGGGTAAACTCTCGGTGCACAGACTTTATCTATCTTAGGTAAGGCAGCAGAAAAAGGTTTGCCAGTCAAAGGACAAGTCGAAATGTTGGTAGGAGGACCGCCATGTCAAGGGTTTTCAGGAATGAATCGTTTCAGCGCGGGTCAATACTCACGTTTCAAAAACTCACTTGTTGCAACTTACCTCAGTTTTTGCGAGTATTACAGGTATTTCTTTAGTTATTGATCTTATAGAAAATGCTTTTTACAAAATGTGTTTTAGGCCCAAATACTTCATGTTAGAGAACGTCAGAAATTTTGTTTCATTTAAAAAAGGCATGGTTCTGAAACTGACGATTTCGTGTTTAAGCAAAATGGGTTATCAAGTTACTTGGGGTATAGTGCAAGCTGGTCATCACGGAGTTCCACAAACTAGGTACATACAACATTGTATTTTCTGACATTATCATTTCAATTCCACCATAATTATTGTTTCAGACGCAGATTAATTTTAATGGCAGCAGCGCCAAACTACAGTCTACCCAGGTATCCAGAACCACTGCATGTGTTTAATAAACGTGGTGCATTATCTTTTGTAATGGATAATTCCAAATATTCAAGCGGTATGTGAACTTAGAGATTATTTAAAACTGAAAAATTAAACGGCTTGTTGGATTTAGGTTGCGAGTGGACAGAATCTGCACCATTTAGAACGATTACCGTTAAAGATGCCATGGGAGATCTTCCAGAAATCAAGAACGGAAGCAAACAGGAACAAATGCGATATGATTCTGAGGCCTCCTCTCATTTTCAAAGGTTAATGAGAGGTAATCTAGAAACCTTATTTGACAATAACTGTTTTATCATTTATCAGATCATGATAAAGTAAAGTGTCTCTTGACGTTGAAAAACTAGAGTTCCCATAATCCTTTTTCCATTTCAAGGTCCAGAAGAGTCTCTGGTCAGAGACCATGTATGCAAAGAAATGACTCCAATAGTGGAAGCTAGAATTGCTCATATTCCTACTGCTCCCGGTTCCGATTGGCGTGATTTACCAAATAAAGTCGTTAAATTGAATGACCAAACTAGCACAACTAAATTATTGTATCCCTACAAGTAAGAATAATTTTCCATTCAAAAACGTCATTTTTGTTTCAATTTTATTTTTAGAACAAAATCACAGAAGTTAAAGGACCCTTTCAAAGGTGTATGCCGTTGCGCAACAGGACACCAATGCGATCCAACTGACAGACAATCCAATACTTTGATTCCTTGGTGTTTACCTCACACCGGAGACAGACATAGTCAATGGGCAGGGCTCTATGGACGTTTAGAATGGTATGGATATTTCAGCACTACAATAACTAATCCTGAACCAATGGGAAAACAGGGCAGAGGTAAGATAGATAAGTTCCATATTGATGTCATTGTCTCTACATGAAATATTTTTTTAGTTTTACATCCAGATCAAAATAGAGTAGTAAGCGTGCGTGAATGTGCACGTTCTCAAGGATTTCCGGATAAGTTTCAATTTCAAGGAAGTATTTTGGATAAACATAGACAAATCGGTAACGCTGTACCGCCTCCAATGGGCCTGGCGTTGGGCAGGGAAATACTGAAAGCTCTTAATGAGAATCTTTAAGTTTTTTATATTTTTTGTATTTTGAATTTTTATTTATTTTTTACTTGTTTCTGTGTTCCGGAAGAACCTTTTTTTTATTTTTTATTTAGAATAAACTTTTATTTTTTTGACGATTTTTCAAAGAAAATTTGTAGTTTATTTTTGATTATTGCTTTGAATAAACTGGTTCTTTTATCATCAATTTTTTCGTAATTCTCTATCACAAAACTTTCCCACAATCATATGCTGCAGGCAGGGCCGGCCCTACTATAAGGCGAACGGAGCGAACGCTCCAGGCGCTATTCCTCAAGGGGCGCCTTGGATTCGTTCCTTAGTGATAACAAAAAGAGAAAAATATATTTTTGCTCTTAATCTTGTCTCCGCTTTTCAAAATTCTACTATTTTGCTTACGAGCAAGTTTGTAATTGTGAACAGTGTTGCCAGATCTCACGATTATTCGTAAGATTACACGATTTTGGTGAGAATTTCACGATCTCAGGAATGAGGTAGCAAATCTCACGAATTCTCTCTGTAGTAATCCAAATCAGTAATCAAATATAATGTAATCGGAAATAATCGAAATAAAAATCTACTATACAATATTTAGTTATGTTACGCCGCTCCTGGTACATGCGCGTTCAAGAACACTTTACCTAATAGCACGGCATATACAAAAACAATCAGCAGGCTAACTTGAGCTTTGTATCCCAAAATGGCGGCGTGCGCAGATGAGATGGGCGTTAAATCTCATTGTTTTGCCATTTAAAGATAGGCTGTATCCGCGAATGGCGGCGTACGCAGAAGAGATGCGCGTGAGAGTTAACCTGCTGTTTGTTTTTGTATATTCTGTGCTAATAGGACTGTTTATTGAGCTGAAAGTGTCTGCGATGTCCACGAGACCCCCACTATTTGTGACGTCAGCTGCAGACCTCAACTCTTGGCAGAAAATGCATTATCCGAGTCCAAAAAAACGAATTCATAAACGTTGAAATCGCCTTTTCCTAATTTCAAACTCCCAATAAAATTAACTCACAAGCACAGCTTGAATCGCAAGCCATCCATCGAGGTCTGCGGGTGACGTTACTACTATCGGTTGCTGATAGTAGTGACGTCACTCGCAGACCAGCTGCCGACTCGAGAATTGGCGAACGTACGCTTTTTTAGGATAAGCAATCCGGATAATGAAAACGAGGTTCAGCTCTCAGAAACACCTGCTAAAAAACGGAAAAAACAAGGATACAAGATTTAATAATAAAATTTCAATATCTTATGGATGTAAAATCATGTCTACTCTATCAAAAATCTATAGAAGAACATTGTGCATTATTTTCTTACAAGCAATTTTAGGTCTCACGATTTCTCACGATTTTTCTTTATCGATTCTCACGAATTTTTTTTATTTCATCTGGCAACACTGATTGTGAATGCCATGTGAATAACCAGTCGCGACGTTGTTTTCAGACGCGCATGAGTCGCGGGCGTGGGGTAGACCCTACCTGAATCACGATAATTCAGGATTAGAACGTTTAAGGCCCGGTTTGTTGATTCCCAAGGTGAATTTGCTGGTAAATGTTTGCAAGATAAATTCACCGATCTATAATTCTATTGGTCACCGGATAACGCCGACCAATGGGATTGTAGATTGCGTTTCTATCCGTCAGATTGCATTACCTGACAGTTTATCAAAAAGTGTATAAACCGTCCCTGAAAGAGAAATAATGTGTTTGAAGAAGTTCTTGAATGATAATAAAGGTTACCCAAAAGCAGTACCTACTCCAGAACTTAGCATTAAATAATTGTGTAACAAAATCAATAACAAATTTATATTCTCAGTTCAAATTCATTATTCATGGGAAAATTTTATTTTTATAGATAGCTAAAATGTGACCCTATGATAAAATTTACAAACACATGGAGTTCTGCGAAAGGCCTAATTTCTTCGAGAGGGTAAAAAGCACTTGAACCAGAAAAGTATTGACTTTTATAGCTTCAAGATTATTATTACTGTAATCCAAAATTGACAAATATACAGGGTTTTTTCTCTAAATCTCATGTACAAACGAAAGGAGGTGATTCTTTGGTTTATTTTATGACTAAAATTTCTAATAAATATAGGTCCGCAAACGCTTCGTTACCGATCTACAGGGTGTTGAAGTTTTAATATTTTTTTAGTTTTTTCTTTATAGCTCCTGAAATTTTTGAGGGATTTAGCTCAAATTTGGAATAAAGGTTACGCAATAAGAGCTGAATGATTGCAGACCTCAAACGTTTGCCAGAATCTACAGGGTGATATTTTTTCAGGGGTCATGCCCCCTTTTCTGCCCCTGAACTTTTTCGCGGTGCGCCGCTGGTCGATTCTAAGAAACAAAATAATTTTTCTACCTTATTTGGAAACTTTTTGTTCTCTTGTAGTTTCTTCGTATCACCGACCCTTATCGAGAAAAAAAATAAAAAACAAATCTCTGTACTCACTAGATGAAACTAAAGTGACTCAATCAAAACTCAATAAACCTTTTTGACCTACAGTGGCGACAATAGAGGTCCCGCAGCCATAATCTTGCTAATTTTGAATCTAGAGGTAAGACACCCCTCGCCGCCATATTCTGGCTCATTTTCAATATGAATACATTTAAATTTCAACACCCTGTAGATCGGTAACGAAGCGTTTGCGGACCTATGTTTATTAGAAATTTTAGTCATAAAATAGACCAAAGAATCGCCCCCTTCTGTTTGTACATGATATTTAGGAACACCCTGTATAAGCAAAATTTATGTTTTCTAAGATAAACACTAAACTTTGAACTAATCTCTCGACTGAACCAGACCCATGTGGTTGTAATAATTTATTCAAAGTCAAGAATAATCTCTGACCCACGTTTTATAACGAACCGGCCAGATGTCAGATTGATATATTATATATTATATTCGAAGCATATGTGTGTGTAGAGAAACAATAATTACATAATCTGGATTTTTAAGATTCCAATTGTATAATAATAATATAATTATCAAGGGTTATTACTAGGGAACCTTTATTTTATACATTTAATTAGGATAGAAATTAGGGAACCGTTATTTTATACATTCAATTAGGTTAGGCAATTAAAAGGGAAAACAGTAAATGTTCAATTAATAATTTGACAACATATAAGTAGCGAACTCTGTTGGAGAGCCATCAAACTCGATCACAGGGTTGAGCATTTTGGATGGGGAAGGTTGATCCGCTAGTTCATCTGCCGCCCGGTGTTTTAGTGGAAGCTCTCCAAAGAGGTGATAGTTATATTTTTAAACTTAAATTTCCAATAAAGTTTCAGATTTTGAATTAAATCTTTTAATTGGGAAATTATTCTCCTTTCTTTCAATTGTCTTCAAGTTTTCTTCAGTTAAAAATTGTTGATGGACTATTAATTAAATAAGGTATCTTTAGTTTTTTTTTTATATTTTACCTTACCTTTTTTTCATCTTTAAATTATTTAAATAATTAACTTTTTTTTTTCAGTCTTAAATAATAGTTATTTATTACACAAGCGAAAAAAGTACTGCGGAGGGAGACAACACAGCAAGCGCTAAAATCTTACTTTTTTCCCGTCTATAATACACTATTTTTTTCTGTGACGGGAAAACCTCAGCATTTTCCATCTATAAATTTTTTTTTCTTTGATCGTACTTATACTTTTTTCCCTTTGATAAAAAAATTTGACTGGTACCTGTTACTTTTTTCCCGTGGGAGAAAAACTGTCATTTTTGCCCCTGTCAACAGGTACAAAAAGTCTACTTTTTTCCCGTCACAGAAAAAGTTAATTTTAATCTTTCAAAATTAGTCTTTTCTTTTCTGGTTTCAAAATCCCCATTAAAACACTGGCGGTGGCGTAAAAAGATCTTACGTGCCGGTTTGTGCGGTTAGAAAAGGTGTTTCCAGCTTCAGCAGAAAAGTGGTAAGTGGTACTTATTTTGAGTCTCTATTAACACCTTTGAATAACCACTCCAAGGAGAGAAGAAAGAAGTGTGTGGCGAGAGGTGAACTTAAGTAAGCTTAAGTTAAACCTAAGTTAACTAGAACGTACCTGAGATTAGCTCTAGCAGAAGACAAAGATTTTGATCTAACCCTTCTGTCCATTGAAAATGATATAGCTCAGAATTGTCATTTGAGAGGATCAGGATCGAGGATCGTTAGCAAATTTGCAAATGCAAAAATGCGCAATAGAGATATTTAGATATAAGGGCTGGTTTACTCACCTTGTGATAAACTGTCAGGTAATGCAATCTGATGGATGAAAGCGCTATCTGCAATTCCGTTAGTTGTAGAGTATAGGTCGGTTACTTTATCTTGCATAAATATATTATGTACCTAATTAACAGCAAGTTTATCTGAAGATGAATAAATCGGGCCTGAGTGTTAATAAATGATATTACCAAAGTTGATTATTGATTTTGATCCTATCAAAAAATGTGAACCAAATCACAAATATTAGTAACCAAGAAAGAGCTTCCTACCTAATTATTAAAGTGGTGAGAACTGATTTCTTTAAAAAGTAGGTACCAAAGAACATGGATGTTTTCAAATTTCAATTGATAAGATAGATGGAGACATAATATAGGTATTAGATATGGCCAAAATCCATGCTCAGAAGTTTCACATTTGAATTAGGAGCTCCAAAGACGGATCTCGCTCCATCCTAAAAGTAGGCTTGAGCCGGCACTGACCTGCTGTACCTATACACCTAAACCTTTTTGACATAGCGTGACTAGTGTCATACCACAAATATACAAAATAGTTTTAAAATCTCGCAAATAAAATGCAATACGATATGGATAGGCCCCATCGCTTTCGAGCAGGTCAAAGGTATAGAAAAAGGAAAAAAGATTCTACCAAACCCATGCATCAACTGTTGGACGAAATCGAACTGACCCAACTTCACCAATTGTTTGAGAAAGAAGAAGGAAGAAGAATGACCAAAGATAATCTAATAAATAATTTATCGACAGTAGCCAGAATAGAATACCCGAAGGAGGTAATGGACAGCGAGTTTTTGAGAATGAATGCTACATGGTAAGAAAATTATGGTTGTAGGTTAAATTGGGTATTTAAGATGTTAAATCCTATTTAGGAATGAAAATTGATTCGTTTTTCTTTATTTTTTGTTTTCTCTTATTCT